TTTGTCTTGTAAATCTCTACAGGTGCTATGGGTATCTCTTGTGAGGATTTGTTCTATTGGACCGCCCCGTCTCAAAGCGGTTAGTGACCTTCATAGTCCTAATTAAAGGTTTAGTGATCTATACAATGCTTCGGCCGCGGCCAGTTAATTTCCAAGTGATTGTCACTGACGATTCTTATACGTTGTGAAATCTTGGGCGCTGTTGGGTTAGAGGAGCATTTTGCTCTTTTACTAGTGCCTTTTGTTGGTGTATGTTAACTAACAGGTCTCTTTTTGGTCACCTGTAAGTTCCTGTAATTGCTAAATAGTGCAAGTGAGCTCCTTTCGTCTTTCGAGTTTACAGGTCCTGAGGAGACATGTACAAGCTAGCTGAGCACCGTTCAGTGCCCCCACTAAGCCGAGCTTGGCCAAATCTTGTGAGCTTTTTTAGGCATGTGTGCTTCTATTCCAACGGCTGCTTTCATTGGATTTGGGGAACGAAATAGTTTCTCGACTAGTATTTGATGTGATCATGGCGACCGAGGAATTCATTCAGGAACAGAACAAGTCGACTGCCGGATTACAAGCATTACTTCAAGCTCATGAAAGTTGCCTTAAGGTAGTGTCATTGATTCCAGTTTTTCGATTAGTACATCTCGCTATAAAGTGGAGTATTCTTTGTTGGAATTAATGAAACTATTTACACCATAGTGTTTTTGCCAGTTGTGTAAATATCTCACCATTGTCCCTGCTCCGAGCCAGAGAGGCTCTGCAGTTCCTCTTCAGTCGGGGAGCACCAACCATGTGCACTCGTTCTCGCCAGAATATGGGGCGTGGCAGTAAGACCGGGTTTGGCACAACCCCATCCCGCTTTCCGCTAGCAGCTGAGACAGGAAAATGACAACAATTGTTGGAAAGTAGACTGGACGCTCGCCAACCCTTCTCTCCACCCCCTGACGCGCCACAGCGTCTGCAGCGAAAGCGACTATATCTAGTCTATACAGAACTTTTGTGAAGAAGTCTGACCATCGAATAGGCAGTCACCCCGCCGTTCATCTGATGTCCAGGAAGTTCAGGGTCCATGCTAGTCCGAGTTACAGATCGCATGACGCGTTCGACCCAGTTGCTGTCAAACTTAGATTGCTTGGCATATGTGATACTGATTCTGTTTGTATCCCGAGTTGTGCCCTAAACTTCCCGTCCTAGTCATACGGTATCGTGGAGAGCGTTCCCTGTACAGCTCGCTGGATAGTGCTCACCGTCTACTCAGCCTTCCTGTGTTGAGCATAAATATCTGAGGTTTACTTTAGGGCAAAAAGATGGGAGCAGAGCCGCATGTTGTCCGTCTTCTTCACAATTCCCTCAATAACCTTTAATGCTCTCTACGTCACCTGTCTTCTTCGGCTCAGCTCTAGAGCTTCTCAGCATTCGTCGCGTTGATTTCCCGGTCTGGATACACGTAATGGACCATTCAAAAGTGACGATGTTTGATCCATCGGGCGAGAATGGGGGAGGGGTCAGGAACCAATCCATGCGGTGTGACATTAGTCTCATCGGAGGAGGGTAAAAATGAACGGGCCTGTTATTAGCACTTATCATGTAATCACTCTGACTTAGAAATTGTTTCATTCTGTAGTCAAGATGCAGGGTGAAACAGAGGTGGTGTAGCGGCAAGGGCCCTACTTACCACCAGTTAGGGAGTCAAACCCGGGCTCTGCCCCCGCGGACTCCAACTAGGCCTTCTACAATCCGGGTCTATAAAATTAGTACCAGTCTCATCTGGAAGGATAAAAACGCTGGAGTCTATCGGCTGGTCCCGCGGCCCATGGCATAGACCTTAACGCATTCATTGAGGCACTTCTAAATGGATCTAAAATAACTGAAATGAGTGCCAAACAGAGGCCGATCAACGACGAGAGCTTTGATCTTTTTGTTGCGGAGATATAAGTTGATGGGGTGATTTTTGTGTGAGCTAGGGAACCCGTACCTGTTTCTATGATCCTTGAAGTTTTTAGGTATTAATGGAGCTACTCGAGGATATGGAACATAAAAAATCATTTGATGGCATAGCTGTTTCCATCATTGTATCGTGGGGTATTCGTGCTGCCGAACTGGGCTTCCTTCATCCTGTCATGCGTAAGAGAATTGTTTTTTTGAAAACTGTTCCATGTTGTTAGAATTCTATTTGTATCTTGGAATATTCCTATATTTTGAAGATGCAGTTTTTTTGATGTAATGGGTTTTTTTTCAGCTGCGCGCTTTGAAATCGTCACCACAGCCGTCACGCGTCTTTTAAGCCGTTTGACAGGAGATTTCAACGAAGATCATATGAAGCTGATAAATGTGCTGGCTGATCTCACTCAGGTATGGGAACGGTTTGGCACCAATTAAAAGCTTTTTTGTTGGTTAAAAGAATTCTAAATGTTGCCTTCAAAAACCAGTAGTAGTTCTAGAAACTGGTTGAGCGTTTACTTCTTCTCGAACCAATTAATAACGGCGATATTGTTGAGAATTTGCATTCGTATTATTCGTTTCTGCTCAACGTCGATTTGATCTCATCGCAAAGGTAACCAGTAAATCTTATGGCCTTCGTGTATACTTCCTTCCCCTAATGAAACTTTCATTTTGTGGTAATTTTAGTGTTCGAGGAGAATGGATAGCGTCATATTGTGAAACACGTTGGCAAACTCTTTTACGCGATGGAAAGCATGGCGATGCAATGAAAATCAGACGAATCGCAACGGCGGCGTTGGCGTTGTGTAGTGGCAGAAACGCATCTTCAGTCTTCATGAATATCCTACCGACAGAGCAACAACTCATTCATGTAAGTCGACGCATCGCCTTAGTATTTCGAATTTTCGTATGCTGTGTTTGAGTAAAGTTTCCGGTACTATTTACCTTCTTTATAACCTCCACTTTTAAGGGAGGTGGTAGCGCTAGAAAGGGTGCTTCAACCACTTGCGCGGTAGATGGGTCCAAACATCTTTCTACCAGGGCCTAGCCAACTGAGAAGCTGGCTTTATATGAAAGTGTAAAAACGCTATTTTGTAGATCGACTGACCCCCATCAGTCATTGTTCTGGTCACATCGATTTCAAATATGCCCGTTTGTTTCTGAATTTTAGTAGAATGCGGGATACATCAAAAAATTCATTAACGCGAAGTCTTTACCCTTTTTTCACCCTTCAACTGTTCCGATTTTGAGGTGAAACGCCGTGTTACATCTAACGGTGCAGCTACGGCAGAACTGATGGTGCTTTTAAAGGCGGTTGGCACGATAAATCCCTAAAGACGAGTATGGTTGATGCGCCTGGCAGGACAGAAATCCCGAAGGCAGGCGCTGTGGCTGGCGCCGATGGGAAGGTAACCTTAGCCTATCAAGCTCCAACTGTACCGACCGAACAGCCCCACCAAAGCCCGTCCCCACAAATGGATGACCGCACCTGATGCTCGTATTCCTCCATTTGCTAACTAAAATATGAAGCGAAGGCGAAGTATGAAACGGCTGCGGTGCTGCATGGATATATGAGTACATACATGCACCTGTACCTACCGTAGTGCTTATTGACACAATGGCGCTGAGGAAGGAACTCGTCCGGAAACGCTTTTTAAGAACGAAGCTTTCCTTCGCAGTTTTCGACCGTCTCACTTCGTTTTTCCCCTTCTTCGTACTATATAGCGCTCTGCTAGCATTTAAGGCCGAGTAACAAATCATCGGGCCAACTGCCTTTGAGCTGGCTGATTGGACATGCTGCATCATTTCCACGTCAAACCAATTAGATCCCTGGTGCGGTCGCGGCGCGCCCAATGCGGTGCAACGCTGCGACCGCACCAGGATGAGGGAAGATACCTTAAAGGCAGCTGGCACGATGTTTTGCCACTCGGCCTAAAATGCTAGGCGCGCTATTGTAGTGGGGAAAATGGCGAATAACCGAGTGAAACGGTCAAAATCCGACCAGGAAAAGGCTTCCGTTCTCAGTGAATTGAAAATCGATTTCGGACGAGTTTCCGTACGCATCTTGTCAATCACCGCTAGCGAAACATGGCTGCATAGTGGTAACTCATATATCGCAATGCATGCATTCACGCGCCGCTCCATACCAATCCCCTTCGCGTCATAGATTTGCTTAAAGGGGGGGGGGGGGGGGCGCCCCCGCCGCCCGCCCCCGCCCCCCCCCCCCGCCCCCCCGAAAAAAAAAAAAAAAAAAAAAATGAAAATGAATGAATACGAGCGTCAGGAACGGTCGTCCGTTTGTGGGCGGGCGGGCGAGGAAGGCGTTTGGGACGGAATGTTGTTGCTCGATAGGGCGTTATAGGGGTACCCTCCTTGGAAAAGGCGCCACGGAGCGCCTGTCCGAGGTCACGGAATTCTGTTAAGCCAGTCGTATAAATCCTACATCTGTATAGCGATTTATCGTGCCAACTGCCTTTAACTGTGCGCGAGGGTTAGTTTCCGCAAGCCCCGAACTGACTTTCAAGAATCGATTTCTGCGAGGACCGAGAGCACTTCAGACCTAGTGCTTTTCAGCTTCTAGGTAAAGAGGGCCAGGTTTCATTGCTCCATCGATAAAGTAGTAAGGCTTCTGTCACATATAGAAAGCAGTAACCAGTGAATGGGCTAGCTTTCCATAGGTCGAGTTTCACTATTCGAAAGCAAAACTACAGTTAATCTCCTTTCTCATCTGACTGGATCTTTACCGGGACCGATTATTTAGGTTCTCGAAGCTGCTTCTTCCTTAGGACCTGCCGCTTCCGGAGTTTTCCTGACTGTTTTCGAAATCGTCGGTGATTTGGTCTCTCGTCACACGAAATTTCCTCCGACCGCTTCTGTTGCTTTTCTCTCCTTTACCTTGGCTCATGGTAAGTTATGATCTATCAATCTGAGTTTTTCATTGCCAGATTTTTCTGATTTTTCAGGATCCCGAGCTGCAACTGCAATCCAGCGACATATGACATCGTTGCCTCTGTTGAAGGAAATGAATCGTCTAGCCAAAACGCACGCCATTAGTGCAAGTTAGTTCTTTGGGGTGACATTAAGTCCACGTTATGGCGACACGCGCAAGTTGACGGGGGATTCCGAACTAGTGGACTCAACTTGCTGCAGCATTTCCACTTTCAGCCTGTCCTGGTGCGAATATCGCTCACGTGACACCATTTGCAGCGCTTCGTTTGCCATCCTCGCCGTAACATGGATGAATGTTTCCCACTCTAATTTCTTGAGTGTGATTCATGCGAATTTTAGGCGATGATATCTTGGAGTATACACTATCCGCTTTATCATCTGTACATGGATTTTGTGACTGGCGTCGCACGATCTTGCTTTCAGCAATGTCTTCTCATCGGCCAGCGTTAGTCCAGGTAATTTGAAAATAAGCTGGAAATAATCTTGTAATTTTTCTCGTCTGATAAACAGACAAATTAAACACTAACCTCCGTAGATCCTGTTCCTTCCCATGTGTGAGGTGAATGAGTCTGAGGCTGTGGCTGGAGGGTAATGATACCCGGGTGCCATCTCCACGCTGCAGCACGGTCAGCCACACGGCTGACTGTAACCACGCCTGACTATAGCCAAACGCGCTATTGTCTGGGCTCTCTCCTTCCTGGTTGTTCTCCGCTGATAAATGCGTGTTTTGCTGCGGGATCTTGGAGACGACACACTGAGGACAGCGCGGGTGGAATAAGCAGACGGCATCGGGGTATCACATCCTTCCAGTCTTGTTCACGTGCACTTTGAACGGAGAAAGTGGGACCCCACTACACCTGGGACGCGCTGGAGAAGTGACCTGTGAAGAGTTAGGAGATGCCGGTATCCAGCGAGCTGTTGAGTG